TGGACTGTCGTTGGCGCTGCAAGTATATGTTTAAGTTAATGAATTACCTACACTTTTTTTATTGAATTCTATACATAATAATTGTAATTGCTGCAGATATCGGTGTACGAGACTGTCTCCATCTTGGCCAGTTGGTATGCATGGAGAGGAGAGATACACTGTCCTCGGATGCATCACTGGCAATCATAAGACAAGCCGCTATCAGCTCTACTCGACGATCCTGAGATACGTATTATACAATTGCTATTTATGTTGTATATCCTTTTACAATCTCAATACATAGTCATTAATTGTGAAATGTCAAAATGTCAGCTTGAAGTTCTCACTGAGTTAGCACAGTCAATCGAGGAGGAGAGTCAGCTTTATATTCACTAATTGCCTGTTTTGACTGCGCATGATGATCAAATGCCTGAGTCCAAGGTGGATCGAGATAGGGTATGTTACTATGCAGGATTTGTTGAATATCGCTTTGATCTTGTAATTAAGTGCTTCACTTGTGATATTTATTTTTTCAGGAGGGTCATTCAGTACTACCTCCGTTGAGGATGTCACCTCCACCAAGGAGATCACGTCTGGCGAGGATGTCACCTCCGTCGAGAAGATCACGTCCGGTTACGCCAGAGGTTCAAATGCCTGTGTCCAACGTTGATCGAGATAGAGTATGTTACTTAAAAATAATTTTTCGGTTATCGTTTTAATTTTTTTGTTAGATTATTCATTTGTAATAGTTATTTTGTCAGGAGGGCCGTCCAGTATCACCTCCTGCACCTAGTCACCATGCTTCGACGATTGATTTGTTCGAACTCCTAACGGAGATGAAAGGAGACATGACAGAGTTACGGGATAATGTCGCGACACTACAAGCTGAGTTCGAAGACATGGCAGAGTTACGATATGATGTCGTGATGTTACAAGCTGGTTTAGGAGACATTTATGCTGAAGTTGCAGTGATACGAGGCGACATAGCAAGCCTGCGTGGGACAGGTGATTATTGAGATGGAGGAGTTGGCGGAGGGATAGGTCGTTATCGGGACGGCGGGGATGATGAAGGGACTGGTGGCTATCGGGATGGAGGGAGTGACAGAGGGACTGGCTGCTATCGTGACGGAGGGGTCGGTGGTTATTAGGGAGAGGAGGTTAGATGGGGTATATTGACTCATCGTGGCCATCGGTTGCTGGATTTAATTCATTTTTAAATGACACGATAGGGATAGAGAAGCGAGAGGGGATACCCGTGGTAGAGGGGGTACCCGAGGAGGAGGGGGTGCCCGTGCAGGGGATACTCAAGGACGTCGAAGTGAAACTGAAAGAGGAGAGGGTGTCGGAGGTGGAGTTATTACCCAAGATGATGTCACCCGAGGCAGAGGGGATACCCGGGGATGTCGAGGGAGTACCGTAGGAGGAGAGGGTACCGAAGGTGGAGGTGGTACCCGAGAGGACGCCAGACGTAGTCTTTGTGTCGGAGGAGGTGGTCTAGATAACGGGCGAGGGGGTGGTCCTGATGGCTGAGGAGATGGAGGTTCCCGAGACGGATGAGGAGCGGACGCGTGCTGTTGACGTGTCAGAACGGGTGGTCAGCAAGAGGCCAAGGGTGCCATCACAATACGTCGTTTCTCCTTTTATCGCGGAGGCGAAGAGGAGAAGGTTCGTCGACGGGACACACTCGAATTTATTCAGGGAGGTAGACCACGCCAAGTGGAAAGCCTTCGAGACGGAGTGGAGAGCAATAAAGCCCGGGTAAGTTTTGTATTTTATAGAATTAGAATAGTACGCAGACGCTGACACATGTATACTTCTTGCAACTAAAAATTTTGTTCTTATTTTTTAAGGGCAGTCGCACGATTGCTCAGAAGACAATCTCAAATGCTTACAAGTGGTTCCACGACATCACCACTTCGAAGGCTTGGCTCGCCGACGATGTAAGCGAAATGAAAGTATTGATATTTATTATGTATGTTCAAAATCAAATTTTTAAACCAAATTCATAGAATAACTCCTTTCTTTATTGGTGTTTCTTAATGTAGTACATTGACTTGGCCATGAATTTGCTACGAGATCGAGCTGAAAAACATCCAAAACCGTTCAACATTCATGGCCGACTCATATTGAACATCGAGTTCATTCGTGCCGTTGACATTGAGTACCAGTCGTTCCAAGCTATGGGTAACGAGTACACGGTGTCGACATATATGATGGAGTGGGTTGTAGTAATGTGGCCGAGTGTTGGAGGAAAGCTATGGGAGGCTGTACGCATATGTACATGCCAGTATGTGTGAATCATCACTACATTGCAGTGGAAATTGTATTCGCCGACTCCACTATGTATGTATACGACCTCGATCATTCATGTCTAACACAAGGCCAACTCGAGCGAAATCTGGAGTCGGTGTCTGTGATCGTTCCCATGATGGCTAGGCGAGGGAACATCATTGTGCAGGATAGATTGGCCATCGTGCGGAACACGACGACGACGAGGCAACAAATATCGTAAGTGTTTGTAATTTTATTTTTGTCATTTATATCTTAGGTTCTAACTAGTTTTTGATGTGCTAATACAATATTGTTTAATTGTAGGGGTGATTGTAGCATATTCGTCATCAAGTATATAGAATTTTTTAGTGTAGCACATAAGGTTGATGCAATCAACCAGACATAGATTATGTGATTTATTTGAATTTAATGGGGATCCGTAAATAATTGTACATATTTTTACATTTATTTAACGTTGTACATTTCATTCATTCATTTGTAATTACGAAAAAATTGTAAATATTAATTATTTATGTAATATTTAAATATTTATTTTATAATTTATGTGTTTATTTATAATATTTGTGTGTATTGTGGATAACGTAGTGTGTCTAAAAAAACTTCGAATACTACGATTTCAAATAATTAATATAAATAATATGCATAAATAATGTGTGTGACAAATGAAACTAATGAATGAAATGTTTAAAAAAACTAAATTTAATAATTAACATAAATAAGATGAATAAATAATTAACGTCAATGTTATAAATAATTACATTGTCAATAGTTATTAAAATTACACATCCGTTACATTGTTATGCAGATGAATCTGATTTGTACAATATCTTCTAGTATGCCCTATTGCACCGCACCTATCGCACTTATGAGGCTGGGGAAACTCTTTGGTAGATGGTATTCTAGACGTACGTGTACATCCAGGAGTACGTGATCCGACTGCTGGTGGCAACAAGTTATTCAGCGGGAGAATGTGGTCGGGAACTTCCCACTCGACTTCGTTTGGTACAAGAAATATTGCTTCCGCACACGTTGCTCTCCAATAATTAGTCATGTAATACGCACTACATAAGGTACACGGTGGAAGTCCTCTATGCATAGCCACTTCCACTGCATGTGTATACGGAAAACTCTCCAATTGAAACTGTTTACAGGTGCACGTGTTATCATTCAAATATATGATGTATCCGAAATTACGTGCACATCTCACGGAGAAGTGAAACTGATCCAGTGGTTCTACATATACCTTTTTCATCACATCTAGAGTCTTGAAGAGCTTATCTTTTGATAAGTATGTTTTTACACACTTATTTGGTTCACAAACTTGACTTAAACATGGATAAAATGGTTGAATTATGACTTAATATAGTTAAATTTATGCATTGTAGGTAATTCAATGGAAATTGTGGAATTCAGGAGAAAAGAGCCGAAAAAGGACCAAAACGCAACAAAGTGATAGTTCGAGGACCAAATGTGCAAATAT